CAATACGGCTCAGACCATCCGCAACAGTGGACCAACGCCTAGCTTTTCTGCAATCTCTCGAACTGTTTGGGATGGGTCAGCCTCCACAAACGCCTTCAAATCCTCGTCAGGTATTGCTTTAGGTCGACCGCTACGAGGTTCATCTTCAAGGCTGAAATCTCCAGAACGAAATTTGTCGAACCATTGTCGCACGGTGCTTTCTCCAACACTATTGGGCCCCCACACCTGGTTAATTTGTCTCGACTGCGGATTGACCCAATTTGTAGTTGAAGAAAAATATCGTCCGAAGTTGCTCTTTTGACATGCTTCAAAAAGTCTTGGGAAAAGGGGGTTTATCAAGCAATGGTGAAACGGCAATTATACCATCAGATAGCGCAAAAAATTCTCTTCAGGATGTACTACTGACAAGGGAGGTGTTTCAGGTCATGACGCGCTCTTCAGGATGTACTACTGAGACGCAAGGGAGAATGAGTTTTTAATCAGCAATGAATGTACAAAAAATAGTAACACAAAACGCTGAGAACTTTCCGGACAACCTAATCCATAGTAGAAGAGGATCTCTGAATCCTCCCTTCAGTCATATTAAGGATATTAGCGCTAGAAAACTGTAAACTTAAGAATACTGTAATAATAAGAAGGTACTACTGACCTTAAATGTATGCGGACCGACCTTCTTCCAGTATTCATCGTACAATTTAGCGATCTCTGAAGGTAAACTTGTTTTAGTTGTGAAATGAGAAATTACGCATTCAGTGCACGCCAGGTGCCCAGAAGCACACCACTTCCTCGGTTTCCAAAAGAAGATGGCTTTCTGCATTTTTCACTGGATCGTATAATAAAATAATTTTCTGCTGATGGATCGGCGCACAAACTACAGTTTTACATCCTACCACTGAGAAGGGGTGGAGAATTGCGAAGCGGAACCGTTCACCAAATACGGCCCGGCCAGCACGTTAGATATCGGTTAGGCCCGATGTTTATCTTTTCCTTGCCACTACTGCTGGCGAACGCTGGAAACGCTAGTGTACGCTGGTGTACGCTGCCGCAAAGTATGAACGCAGCCTGAGCCTTGGAGCTTTGGCGTTGAGAAGAGATCGATCGGTAGGCAGCATTCACACTTCGCGACGACGCGCACCGACGGGCTGTAACGCGCCACAATCCTATAGCCGCGAATAGAGCCGCAGACGGGCACCGACCACTTGTGTATTGAAAGAATATGGGGAAACAGGAGAGTACGCGTTGTCTACTTACGCTCTGTGGTATCGATCGGCACTGAGCGGTAGGGTTTGGAAGAGTATAGAAGAGTGTCAGAGTACCAGATTATGTGAAGGTAGCACCTGCCAAATTGTTGTCCCGACTGTTATCCTATACTCTCGAAAACCACAAGCGGCCGGCGCCACTCGATTCCTGTGTGCGGTTGCGTTCGCGTCTACAAGATTGGAGCACTGTTGCATTGCAGCGCGTCGACGCGAAGTCTGAACGTTGTCCAACTGAGGGTGGGGCCGTTGTAGACTTCCATTCGTTTTGGCCTCGGCGGTTTTTATGCTCAAGCCGAAGTACAAGAAGGAAGTTATGGCGCAATTGCTGACGGTCTGAGACGACGATGAAGTGAGCAAACATCGGTCAGCCCTTCTAAAATCAAATGCCACTGTTCCCGGTTTGGGAAAACGTGGCACAACTCTCCCATAAACCTAATACAATACAAATCGGTCTGTCCGCGGAAATTGTTATGTAGGCCAAAGTGCATTCAAAACGGCGCTACATAACTGCTACTATTTTTGATTTCATCCCAGAATTTCATTCCACCATTGGGCACACTGATAAATTTAATATGTGAGTGTAGATGAATAGCTAAAAAGTTTGACGAAATCAAATGTAATTGTTATACGCTTTGTCCTTTCATACTA